TATATAGCGACCATCATATTCTAGCGTGTCTGTATTCTATTCATTACACTAATTAAACACAACATTATATTACTTGTACTGTTACTATTTTTAATTTTTTTTCTTGCGCACACGTAAAAACCACAAGTAGAGCGGACATACGGTATTCCGCGGATAAACGAATATGCGCGGACACTGAACATGGACCTCTGTTGTAATCACATGCCAGTTGTGTTCTGCGGTTGATGAGTTTTTTAAGAGTGTTGCATACAATCACAAAGAACATTGCCCATCGTGCGCTGGAGAAAGTACGATTGATTGCAGCTGATTGCAGATGTTAGAACCAATTGGTTTGTTCCAATAAACCAATAATGTAACAAACGTACGCTCAGACTAGTAAAGGGTATTCTTGCAATTTATCATTGTGACGTCGATCGGATGACCGAATGTACAACTGAATGTACAAAATTAACGGGGCAAAATTAAGGGGATATTTCATCAGTAAGCGAATTCTTGGCATGTTTCGTCATATATCTAAATTCCGTTCCACACATGTCCATAAAGATTTGAACGTGAAAAATAAGTATGCACGATATCGATATTTTCCTCCATGATATGTGAGGCAAATCTACATTATGCATAATGGGACAAGTTTTGGGTCGATTGATTAATTTCATACATTCAGTTAAAATTTTATTTCGACTTTTATTCGTCCGGCTCTGATTTTTGACGGCAGTATTTCTCATCAATTCTTTAAAGTTTGTATTTCATGCCTATTGCCATACTGCAGGCTAATAAACGTTACGTAAGAATAATTTATTCTATAATTAAACGTTCAGTAGACAAAGGGCATTGATTAAAGTCGTGTTTAACATGCAAATTGTATTAGATTATGGTTGATTGGACGCAATATTAAAATTGCGCAAGATATTATTAACTAACGAAGCATTTATTAGTTAATTAAGTAACACGTAAAGTGTAAGATGGTATATACGTTTTACATATGTGATTGTTTTTTCTAATCAAGAATAGCTTTTAGATAATGCGCCACTGATTACCGATATCATAAAAAAATTTTCATAACCTGTTTGATAGTGACACATATGACATGATTACTGAGTATGGGAAGTATGAACTTTTTTTGTCAGTAGGTATTAGTAAGCAAGCTACCAAAGCATTCGTTTGGCAATGCAGTCCATGCTATTGACCGTACATGATAACTACTTCCTTTTTTAATAAGAACAACATTTAGACATTAAGCTTTCTGGACGCCCATTCTTATTTTACAAACAAAACATTACATGTCGTAATCTTCCATGTGGGTTTTTCAATGAAACAAAAAAAAAGTTAGAGATGTTCAACTCTACCGTATTTTCACATCGGCGGATGTCATACAGAGCATCCCATTGTTCTGCGTGTGTATGGCATTTGAAGAGACCGCCAATCTATCTGCGGTCGTATAGGATGATGGTGCTACTGTTTCAACAACTGATCACCGCATACAGTACACCATTTGCAGGGCGTCCAAGTTTTATCAACAGCAAGAATTTTTTTTTTATAAAATTTATGTTGCATGACTTGATGCAAACGTGGGGATTTTCCCCGCAATTGTCACCAAACTTTAATTTATCAATAATCCCGCAGGTAAGCTCAGCCCCCTTAATGCAAAAGAGGCATTCACAATGAGCTGTTTGATATTTATAGATCTTTGTGCACGTGTTTGGAATAAAGTGATTCCATTGGCTAATTAATCGTTAGATTGATTAAAACCACAAGTCTATTTTATTTATTGGCCAAGTTTACTTATGCGCAAAGAATGTATGGCAAATATACTTGCATCAATATCAATATATTCAATGTATATTTATTCTTTCTCGTTCTTTCCCATTCCCCCAACACCAGATTAACGAGTTACGATAGCAGCTTCCTTAAAAGGTTACCCAAAATTTCATTAGTCAGTTAGGTCCCCCCAAATCGGTTACACATTATACAAATTAGATTGACCGCATAAAAAATATGTGAGATATATTCTTTCGAAGTCTCCTTACGTCATCGAGAAAGGGGATCGATCGATAAAAGAAACGATTTCGACAGATTGGTTTTTCTTCTTACACAAAATCTTATTCCTGTGAAAATCTTGGACTTCAAGAAGCAGAGCTTTTATTAATTAACCGTCAATCGATATATATGCATAACAAAAAATCCATCTCAAATTTAAACGTTATGAATTTGATAGGCAGATAAGAAACCTTCCAAAACTATCGATTTTCTTGTCCCAACCGAAATGGTTGCACAAATTTACTGTACTACCAATATTATAGACCTGATTGGTTTACGATAATGCATGATCGTAACAAAATGGACCTAATAAAGGTGGTGCAAAAATGCAGAATGCTAGAAAATGCTGAGAGTATTAATGATTCAATAATTAAGCCGTATTAACTGCTTTTCGTAACACGCACAATTTCAAAATAAGGTAAACGCAACTGAGCATGTCTAATCGCCGAGGGTTTCTGCCAACATCTACGATTTATTCGTTGATTATTTTTTTCTTTTCACTCCGCTTTTTCTTTTTATATCGGCCAATCCTACTCTACTAAAAATAGCATCTGTATTCTTCCCTTCCACAGGCTTTCGATTGGGTGAAATTCAAGTACTCAAACAGGTCAGTGACGTGTCTGACTGAATCTTATTCTTGTCGTCAGTCACATGCCGGAAAAAACATAACGCGTATTCCGATTTATTGGCGAATGCAAAGAAAACTATCTAAAAATTCGGGGTACTTGGCATTCTTTTGAGCGATACTAAAGAAGAAACCTTTACCACCATATGTATTCAGAACTTTTTATCACTATCATATTTTGTGGTAAGTAACGTTCAAATATTGTGTAATCGAATTTCCTTTCCCATGTTTTTTAGGAAAATTTAAGAGTAACTCGATGGAAAGAGAGAGGGAAAGGGGAGAGGGGAGAGAGAGGGGGGACAATATTCCTGGTTATTTGGATATTTCGGAAATGTATGTGATTGAGCGATGAAGGGGGATGCAGCCGAACAATATGCCGGATTGTATTGTCAAAATCATCAGTTATTCGGAATTTATATTTTTACATTGGCATCGGACGCTGTATATAGTTAGAATGTGAGTGTTTTTCAAGTCAGGAGATGATCAAAGGTTGAGATTCTTTTCATTTAAGGCTATGATGTGCGATTTCCTACTTCGGTATCTGCCTCTGGGAAAGGCCGGTGTCTCTAACCATTGTGAGAACGATGTCTACTCTTTGAAATTAAGTCTTTGGAAACTGATAAACAGTTGCTAATACGTGAAGCATATCGATTTCAACAACTAGACATTTTTTCTATATAGACAACACGTCAACAATCATGGTTCATTGTGGGTGGTGCATATCAGACATACGATTGGGAGTATGGAACACCAAAAAGTACAAGACTGGAGATAGAACAAGGCCTTTTGTATAAAGGACGGAGACAAGGTTAGAGTTGCTTGGGCGATTGTAAGGTTTTCGATGAGAAATCAGTTTCTCATGACAAGAGATTAGACGCAGGGATTATAAACGTTTATTCTTTTATACAGAAACTAGTTTTATTTGGAGATAGTTATAGAGTCTAATATTCCGAGTGTCAGACTGTTATCAACTAAACTAGATAGAATAAGAGTTAATTAATCGCGGGAGTTTCGTAAATTACGGATGTAACATTGTCTAGTCTAGTTTCATAGTCAGTATCTGACTTTTGTTGACATCTTTGGAAGGATTAATAAAATAACCCCATCCCTAATCGATGTAATATCTATGGTTTCAGCCCCTTTATTCTATTATCCCTTTATTGTCGTGTTTTATACAGGTAATTTTTACCCTGCTTTTCTTCGCTTTTGCTACATTACACAAGTATAGAAATATCGAACGAATAGAAATTAATCAAGTCTCATGTATGACATGAATTTATACCTGCACACCAGTACTTGTGGAGTATGATGAAATACAACACTCTTTAAAGACAATAAAGTAATATGTGCTACAGTTTTTAATTTTTTTATGTATAAAAAATACGAGAAAGCCAAACCGGTCACAAATAGACGCCCAGGGGTGATACTTTTGCGGAAAACTACGGTAATTAAAAACATAGTGTTCCGGAGTTGATGTCCGAGCGCTGATTTGGTGTCATTAATCATTTTTAGGAAACTCTTTGTGCATTGCACAGTTTAATGCACAAAATGAGGGAAAATATACACACAAAAATGTCGTGTAGTTCGAAGGAATCAATGAATTCGAAAGCAGTGCTTTTTGGATGATTTGCATGGAGATTGCTCATAATGGACGATCCGAATTTTGTGTTCAAAATGTGAGTATGTTTGTAGAATGGACTGTTCGCAAAATGAATTGTTGAATAGGTTCGTCAGACTGGAGGACAGGATATAAACATTTCATCAGTTATTAATATTGTAACTTTTGCCAGCACAAACGTTGGAGTAGAGTCGTGCAACTGTTTAAATGACGTGACGAAGAATTCGTAAATTTCTTCTAATGATCGTCATCTTGAGTAACATAGTATAGTAAAGGTATATATTCGAAAAACTTTATAAATGACTCTGATGCCCCTAACACAGTTATAAAATCTTGCTAGTGCATGGTCCATTAGTAACAAGAACCTGTAGAGTGAAAAAAAAATTGCGTAGCTTACCTACCCATAAGCAAGTGAAAAGTATAAAAAAAGTATTATAACGTAGAATAATATTTAACAAACCCCCAACCTTCATTCAACTACCTGTCAAGTATAATTTATTTAATTCCCGTCATTGCTTTCTTCCCCCTTTTCATTTAAATCCTCTCATTCATCGTATGTTTGATGAACTTCTCAAATCACCGATTTCTTCTTCATTAGATACAGATAAAAATAATAGTAATTTTCGATATTTCCGTACATCCGTTTATCCCCTTTAACGAAATTAAATGCGCCTACTCACCCATTATCAGATACCTCACGCAGATATAAAATTCTCAAAAATGGAAGAAAAATTAAATATTCAAGCAACACGAGCAGACATCCAACGTCTCGAGCGAGGGATCGAATCTTTGGTCAATCAGATAGAAAAATGCGGCATTGTTCTTGGCGATGTGGATGGCGTCCAGAATAAAGAATCCGACGATCTCCCAACCATGTCTCCGCGTCGCAAGTCTTCGAAAAACAAGATTACCATAACGCTCGACGTACCTACTGTCGCTGATCATAACAAGGAATCGGATCGGAACGCTGGTCAAAATCTTAAAGCACTGTTGAATCGGACCTATCCCGAGGCTGTTGTTGAACTGGTGTATAAGCTAGGGGGAAGGTTGGGATTCGGTCTGAACGAGAACGTGCAACAGACTGAAAACGGTCCTGTTGCTGGGACGATGAGGGAAGAAGATGGCGGAGGTAATGTGGCGTGGGGTGGAAGGGGAGGGAGTGCAAAACAATGGCAAGGGATAAAGTAAAAGGTGTCGTCAATGAGGCCGGGACCTTTGTGCTCAAACGTTTAATCAAATCTGACATGAACAAATACTTTTCCCATAGAATTCACCAATTTCACAGATGCAAATTCCCTCCCGCCTCAACCTCCCACCCCGACGTCCGAACTCTGCAGCGGTTTGATCGATGCCTACTTTGACCGGTTTAACGCATATCTTCCCGTCATCGACCGGCAAAGGTTTACCGAACATGGGCAAAACCAAAGTAGCCCGTCACGGCTACTTGTACTTGCGACGTTAACTGTGGCTGCGTCAAGGTTTTCGGATGATCCATCTATACAAAAGTTGGACAATAAACCCGCTGGGATTTTCTATGATACTACCAAGGTTGGTTTGAGTTTTAACAAACGATTTGGAAGCCATGGGATCGGGTAATCTAATTGTTGCTTTCGGATTAGCCGAGATAATACGAGACGAAAATTTCAATGTCTGCTCATTCGGAAAAATGTTCCTTACCATTCATTGTTCTTACAACTAATGAAAAATTCTCCCTGATCATTCTGTTATTTCTTCAGAGTCTTTTAAACACAATGTACGACGTACCTCGTCTCGAAACATGCCAAGCACTGTTGCTTCTTGCGCACTCTGAAGTTAGTCTTTCACGTCTTGATAGCTCTTATATGTATCTTGGCATGGCTGGTGAGTAGTAGAAATAGATTTATGAGACAAGGTTTAAAATTGGAAAGCAAAAGATATGGGATAATAACAATCGAATTCTGAAATCTTTTTAGTGAGAATGGCTCAAGCACTGGGTCTTGATAGAAACGAAACCACATCTTCCCCAGCGGAAGATGAGGAGAGGCGACGTGTGTTTTATTGTCTCTATACCGTTGACAGGTAAAAAGGCACTTTATTATTGTAAATAATAGTCTGTGGGAAATTCTCAATTTACCATGTTTTCCCATTTTTTCAAATTTATTGACTCGGTCATGTTCTTGCTTTCTTCTTCCCACTCGCACAGATGGGCCGGTTTTCTATTCGGCAAACCGCATATAATAACTGACATAAATGTCTCTGTCCCACTTCCTACACTTGCCAATTTCGATCCCATGACTCGCGACTTCTTCATCTCCTTCCTGAAACTTTCACGTATACTTGGATCCATCTGGAACTTTGGATATTCCTCTCAACCCAAAGCATCCCCCGCAACATGGTCAGAACAGGCGATGGATGAAAAGTCACCTCTGAGGCAAATCAGAGGTGCGCTGGCAAAATGGCTGAAAGAGTTGCCGGATAGCCTGCAATATCAATATTTGCCCAGTACCGATTCGAGGGATATTTTCCAGTTGGCTAATTTTACGCCATTTGCTGGTATGTAAAAGCAAAAATAAAATAAATTTTAGATGAAATATTCATAAGCAACATGGGTATAAACTAACATCTTTTATTCCATATCTACTTGCTACAATCAAGGTCACATCAACATGCTCTTCCACACTTGCCTAATCCTCCTACACCAGCCATATCTCCCGTTCTCTACATCCACAAAAACCCTTTATTCATCCAGTCCACTAAAGACCTGTCTCACCGCCGCGGTTACAATAGCAGACATTGCCAAAACAACACGTCAAGTTGACCCGAATGTATTTACGGATTTCATGTATTCTCTCTATGGTCTGATGCAATCTGCAATCTTGGAACTTATGATTGTGAACGAAAAAGTCGAATATTCTGCAAGTGCGAGGAAAGCGTTTGAGGAAACGATGGGAGAACTGAGGAGTGTAGCAACAAATTTAAAATTTGGTGGATTTGCGGATGGCATTAGAGAGCTGGATGAAGTAGCAGGATACATAATAGGAAGTGATGGTAATATCGTCGTTCCAATTGCGCTGGCGTCACGATGGCTGGATAATGGAGTTGGAAACGGGACTTGTAATGATATTGGTGAGTTAAAACATTCGATAGAAGGGATTTTGTTAACAGTTCGGGCGTTTGGGTGATTTTTTGTAAAATTTCTCATTTAATAATCGTTGATCAAACTTTTTGCATCAGCTTCGTTCTCGAGCCCTCAGAACATTTCCGTTGTCTCATCCGCCGCGAGCTCTCCGAGTGCAGTAGAAGACATGGCTATTGAAGGGTCACCGAAACTTAGAAAGACTCCATCTAAAGAAACGTGTTTGCAGACCGGAGAGAAGCGCAAAAAGTACGCAGAGAAGGGGCTTGCAGAGAAGCGAAGAAGGAATACTGATGAAATGGATCAGGATTTGACGCTAATTAATAACAACAATGAACCGAATGAGACAGTGAATATGCAAGGCCATATAGATCGACAGCAACAACAGTTGCCACTAGAAGATAAGCAGCCACAGTCACAACTACCCCAATATGTAAACGCACGTTTACCCCATTCTCACATGCAGACACCGTCAACTCCGCCCTCTTCAGCACCATCTTCTTCCCCATCTTCTGTATCCTCTCCACAAGCTCCGGCGCCGAACCCTATACAACTTTTCATGTTACCTCAGTCGACCTTATACTCCGCTGGGCCGGAGGGGGTTATTCCGTCCCATATGCAACCACAGATATCATCGACGATACAATCGCAAATGCAACCCACGTTTCAACAAATTCAATCCCAATTCTCGCACACGCTCCACTCTGCCCAAGTTCAACAAAATTTCCAATCACAATCGATCATTCATCAGATGGTACCAGAACCGTGGGATTCTGGCGCATCTTCGTTCTGGGCCAACGATCTTTTCTTTTCCAGTCCTACGGGTGAACTTGGGAGCATCTATTCTATAAGTGACACCGAGGACAGAGGTGGTGACAATAGGGGCAACTGAGTAAAAAGTCGAGCACGGCACGTTATGTAATATAGCTGCGGAGAGGGAGTATGGCTCTCAATATAACCGGCAAGGTCTAAAACCGAGACTGATCCCTCATTATTGTATATTCGAAGAAAAAAAAAAGAGTACAAAGGGAAATCTTGTCGTTTGATTGTCAGCGAGGTTAAAAAATACTTGTGGAGTTGGTCGATCGATTCACGGGATGAATATGTTGAATACGAAAAAAGGGCTATATAAGGGTTGAGAAAAACGATTGAGGAGATGATATCATTATCCGTGGGATTCGTAATCAAAATAGTTGTAATAGACGAGATAGAGGCGAAAGTTGAAGTCGTGAATAATTTCAGCAATCGATAATTTAACTGGTGATGCGATTATTAATCAGTATGGAAGTGGCTGGCATATATTTCGTTTTCATTTGTTTATATAATATTTAAAATTTCCATAGGTGGCACTATTACTAAATAGCTTTAATGATGTTGTTTTTCTTTATATGTTTTTGTTTTCTTTTTTCTTTCTTTCTTTTTTAATTTCGTAATTTCATTATATTTTTCTGGTATGCCCCCCCCCCCCTGGTATATATTTCTAAGATTGTAATTTTAGTTTTCAGATTGGTTTGTTGCTGCTTGCAGTTCAATAGCTTTGCTTTGGGTTAGCCTATGATATTAGTAAAAAAAACCACAAACTTATTTTAGTATGATGCAAGACTAAGTTGCGTAGTTTTATTGTTATTTTCTATGAATTCTTTTGTAAATAAAAATTATTTACTTGCATAAATATAAACGGAAAGTAGATTATAAATGGACGAGTATGTCATAAATATTCGGTCTGTCAAATCAGTATAAACGGCCCCGGCAAAGCTATTAAGTCTCTGTGTGTTAACCGTAATATTGTTTGGGCAAAAAGTTTCAAGTTGAATTTTAATTTGGCGTGTATAAGCTACATCTCTAAGCCGTTAAATCTAATTAGTGAACCTTCAAATTGGTCAAGATCAATTTTTAGCACATGTCTGAGTTTATGATCAGAATAAAAAAAATTTTCCGGCAAGCCAGATTTGAACTAGCGACCTAGAGATGACAGCTTTAATCTACAGTCTCCCGCTCTACCAACTGAGCTATTGCCGGTATTGCTGTTCTATAGGTTAATACAATAATATATAAACAAATAGTCTGAAGGACCACATAAACAACGTAGAAACTTGTGTATCCAAGAAATCTGCAACGCAAGCAGACGTCATAGCTAATGTTAGAATAGTAATGCGTTCCATAATTTTCCCAAAATTCTGCTACAGCTTAAAGATATAAAAAGTACCGTCATTGAAATAGCAGGTTTGTTATGTTCTGAACGTTTGATATGTTAATCTTCAATTGAATAATATTTACGGAACCTTTAGATTTAATAATCGATTTCCTTTGAAATCGGAAACTTTATTCTACTTCTTAATTATCCGCACGCACGATACCAAACGCCTCATTCAAGCTGTCAGTTAAGTATATAAACGGCTTATGTAAGTTGTAAGATTATCCTTATTATTGTTTAATTAGTTTAGGGATAAGCGACGAAACACCAAATCGAATCCAAAAATAAATAGCTATTCTCCTTCGATCTACGATAGAATAATTGTTGTTGTTCTAATTGCAAGTAGCTTTTGGATACGAATAAAGAATACGTCACATAGGGAAACGCGCGCACAGAAAGGGCAGTGATCAAACTTGATTAGATAACATCCCTTGGCGACCGAATTTCACACTTGCAATGAAATTAACGCTAGTCACATTTAATCTTTAATTAAATAAACATATCTCTACTTCACTATCTACCAGCTGCATCTGGGAATTTTTCACATTGATCATCGCTGTCTCAAGTAACTTAATAACTCCTGTATGTACTCAGCACAGTGGTATTAAATAAGTCGCTGTTTATTATTCATATCTTTGTTGCCGCACAGCTGTCGTTGTTATTGTACCTTCAGCCCCACCTCCTTAACACCATCCCAGAAACAGCGTATCCGAAGAAATACATAAAGGAAGGATTCAAATCATGTATCATGAGTGACTAGACCAATTGACTTTGCAATCGTGATGTTATTATTACGTAAAGAAATGTCTCGATGGAGAATAAGAATGTTACACTTTTTGTAAACTAGATAATGTCCGAGAATTTCATCGTATACTATCATTAATGGCTATAAATTATTATCACAAATCGTAAATCAGAGTTTCCGATTATGGAGAATATGACGCGTGTATGAGTACGAGATACCACTTTAATGTTAGCTGAATTTGCTGCATGCAGATTATGCCGATTCAGATTGACGTTGCCGACATTTTAGCATCCTCGTGGTGCTAGTACTCGACGACTAACGGTGGCAATTGGCTTCAGAATTTGTTGTCACATTCTCCTGAACGTGATTACTGTCGCCACGAATCTTTGATCAAGTAGTACTTGCGTTTCTTTGTCCAGTATTAATTACGGGTAAGGCGCGCACTGCATTATTCTGTGTCTGCAATGCCCAAGTCACAAAGTCATTGTTCCTTTGTAAATGGTAATATGCTTACTGCGAGTCAATAAAGATTTTAGATAAGAAGATTAGGTTTATCAGAGCATTATGATCAGCAAATAAGACAGCAGGGCGGTTCTTTAGTCAATAATGAGGTTGAGCCGAGAAATTAATATTAGAAGAAGCAGGTATTATCAAGAAACGCGGGAGCTGTACAGCGTGTGTTGCCTTAATTTATATTACTATTACTAAACTAGCTCACTGACTACCATGTTTGCTATTGTTGCGTCCTTCTATGCAGAATATGACCAATGACAATTAATGTACAAAGAGTTGCGTTTGTTTTCGCGTTGTTTAACAAAACAAGTAGGGAGCATAACTATCCGACTGCTCCTAGTTTAGAACAAGAACAAGTAAACGCTTTGAATTTTTATGCCTCACAACCATGATTGCCCGTAAAAAATTAATATTTGTCATTAAAACATAGTCAAAACGTACCAAACATACCAAATCTGCATGTCGCTTATTTTGACATATAAACTTTAAAATTTATATCTCCACACGGTTTGCGTAGCTTTTCTTTGTCAAATTAATCTCTATATGTTTCTTGAGACGTGTGGTCGAATTAGAACAAATTTGTTATATCAATATCATTATAACTTGGGATTTTGTCTGTAGCAATTACACAGTAACATGTTTCAAATTTATATAAATAATGTAGAGAAACAAAATAAAAAATTACAAGTTTTTGGTTACAAAATGTTGATATATTGTAATCTCTAAACTTTTATGGTCAGAATTGCGAGATATCTCAAAGCAAAACCTCTGATGTTTCGAAAATTGCTGGAGACATCTAATCGAACTGAAATTTTACGGATAACCATGCCATGCCATGATTTGTAAAGTGTTTAGGAGAGATCGGATACTTATGCTCGCTACTGTAGGTTTATCAATTTTTATTGATAACGCTCTCCAAGAAAACGCCTTTATTCTTAATTTATTGCTGAATAGCATAATGGGGAGGTATATCATTTCATCGACAATCACTTCATTTCACCAGCAAAATTTTCCAATATTTATCCTTTTTTTGGTAATTTGGTCGGTAAATGATTGTCGGTGGTATGAACCGGGGACCCGCATCATGTAATGGGGCAAGCTTATAATACAGGAGTCTTAGTTAAGGCTATAGGGTTAAGCCACTAAAGTTAGAACAATAACAAACCCGCTGACAAACAGAATTGTTTTGAAACACTGTGGAACGATCTAAGACGATTGTTCTTATGTCACATCTTTTTGTATCCCCACTCTTTGTTATTGTCAAATATATCTCACCTGTGAAGCGGGGCAGGTTTCTTCTGTGTCCATGGTCATAATTAAACTACTAATTGAACAATCATTATTCAAGCTTATATTTTACCCCTACCGTTCGTACGGTTTTTATTCTTATGGGATAAATAAAACAACAAATATTAATTATGTTGTTTTTTTTTTATCCAAAATGAACAAATAAGAACTTTATTTTATAGTACGCAATCAAATCTCTAAAATTCAGTTCCATCGCTACTTTTTTCCGACAAAAAAAGGAAAAATAGCTTCATTTGTCCACTAAAAAAATCAATATCACAACTTGACTAAACTGTCTTACGTATCGATGTATTTTCTCTTGACAGCAACGAAATTATTTTCGATGTGAACATGGATTTATGGCTTTCGCATGTGGACGCCCTACTCCATTACACGGATTTTCCAACGCAAGCAGCCCATGGAGATCAATAAGCGTTCACGTTAGCGTCTTTCTCCGTGCTGTGCAAAATTCTGTCTCATCCCATTAATAATGACTTTACCCAATTCCATACGCCATGTTCATACTGCTCGCTTGCGATATCCTCATTCAACAAAATGGATGATTAGAGATAAAACTATTAGAATTATCCTTTCCTGAAATACAAATACACATAATTCAACAAAAATCACCGTTGCGGTGATTGTTAATCTGGTTGCTTAAGCTATAAGGTTTGCATGTATCGGACGTGTTCCAGAAAATATCTATACCAGCTTAGCCCGATCTGCGAGCTTGTACCAAATTGGGTACTCCAAATCGAGGGCATTGACTCTCCTTCGGGTATGTTGGGCGCTTTCTTACTTACCCGACAGCTGCGTTGGTATCATCCATCATTGCGTTATGGTTACAAATCAACAATCGCTATTTGATTGCTGGCAATAGGGTTTCTTCTAAACTATGGCGGTTACCAAAAAATTTCTGATAGCATCCAACAAACCAGATTTCTCTAGCATATACATGGCAAGTTCGAATAAGAATCATTTCTTTAATTTAATTAATGCTATCGTTAATCATTGATATTACTAATATATTTTTCTTTTTGTTAGTCCACCTGATAACCCAGAAAGAAAAGATAATCATTATTAAAATAAGGTAAACAAACAAAAAAGAAGCATTCTACCGCACATTTCTAAATCAGTCCTAATCAAGAAAATT